CTATAATCTTCCGCTACGTCAGGCTGACTGGTAATTGAGATCTCTCTCTTGTACTACATATCATCGAACACTCAATGCAAATTACCACGGTTGGGTTATACACTCAAGTGACTCCTTATTTTCCGCTAATTTTGTGATATGATTAGATCTTTCTGGTCCACTTCTTACTGTGATACCCATTAGAAGTACAAATAACTTATTTTCTCTATTATAACTGTTCTGCTTTAATGAGAAAAAGTTCATACTCGGACCAAAAATAGATGACAAGGAATGAGTACGTGAAAAACCTCCAAAAAGTACAATATAAATTCCAGCTGATCTTCCCTTGCCCATCTATAGTGTTGATTCAAGAGTGAAGTTTCGAAACAGTAGGCGTAGAATGGAAGAATTATGCTGTTCATATTGAAGTCAAATTCTGACAAATAGATGCTTCTTAATCTACAATCTCACCAGTAATCCCCACATGAACAAGATCCATCTTTAAAATGGCGGAATCTGCTAGAATCCCTTACAGTGATTTCTCAGTTAATATTTTTTGCTATCACCTTTATAAAAGCATGACAATCTATACATGCCCTTAATTGTTTCATCACCAGTATAGGTGATCCTTCCGGTGCACTGATTAGTGCAAATGCAACGGCTAACCTCTCGCTATGATATTTAAGTGATTTTGCTTTGATACCCTCATCCACTTTTTGAAGGGCACCAGTGGAGTCAGGCATATAGCCTTCATCTTCCATCCATTTCTCCAAATAGTTGATCTCTCTTCGTATCTCCTCAGTTAGTTGACGAGTTATATCATTGACAATTAACACATGAACTTTATGTTCAATTTCAACCCAGCTATAGGCAGGAACTTTTTTAACTCGACGTTCTCTCATCTCTTTTTTCACCATGGCTACATTTTCCCACTCACCCGCTTGTGCATATATATTAGCCATGGTAACATAGGGTACACCATTTCTAAGCACATCCAGGTTGAAAAGTTGTTCAGATGCTTTCTTAGCAATCTCTTGATTCTTATGGATCTTATTTGAGTTTGGAATTGATGACCACATGATCTCATTTGGCTCAAATGGCATTTGATCCATGTCTCTGCGTCTTTGTATAGTCCCCTAATACAGAGCATGTGAACTAAGGACGAGTAATGTTCTCTTCTTGGAACAAATCTATATGTCTGAGTCATGGATTTGAAGTACCACATCGCTTCATCAACAAGTCCACAACGACTACATACATTAAGACACCAAGGAAACTCACTGGATCTGGATCAAGACTTGATTCAATCATCTCCTTAAAAGGATCTAAGAGTGGCTTCACCATCTCTGTTCTGAGCATATGTCGAGATCGTTGCATTCCAAGAGACTATGTTTCTTAAAGTGGTCAATACTCAACACCAAACATACACCCAGTGATACAAAACCCAAATCAAGAGTTCACACTTTGAAACCCAAAACACAGAGAAGCCAGCACTCTCAGATTATACGTAAAGAAATTTGCATAGAAAACTTAGCTAATTTGACAATCGAAGGCCAGACAAACAACTCTTCATAATCACAGTCAGCATAATACTTGCACTATAAATTGGACAAAACACAACCAAGAAAGAAAATACAGTACCACTTCCAGCTCATCTGCCAGCTTTGTTCTCAATTTTTTTTTTATTAGACTCGTGTTTAGCCAGTTCACCAACCCATTGATTAAGTGCTCTTTTCATTATTTTCGTTAGAAACATTCTGCAGAGTGTGTTACATGTAAGTCTCTCTCTCCCAACTCACATGTGCACGTGTCATTTCAATCCCTTGCATAAGCTAGCGGTTTAAATTGGTTATTGGGATGCTATATCTAATTAATCTGCAGCTTCATTTACTGCTGTAGTGAGAATTTTTTCTTGCATTAACTGTGTTGGGGTAGTAGATTTGTTTGCTCCTCTTTCTTCTACAGCACTTTCACCTACTACCACTTTGATTTTGTGATATGGTTTTGGAGTGGGTGTGAGAAACCCTAGGGCTTGAGCTATGGATCACAATGACTAGTTGGAACTAATTTCATCTTTCGTTAGATAGTTGTTTTATAGGATATGATGTAAATATGTTCTTGATTTCTTGTGTGCATGTGGCGTGCTTATCTAGTGTAAACCTTACAAAACGAGTGCTACAAATGATATGCTACTCGGCGAAAATCTAAGTTAGACTGGAGATCTTAGAACAACAATTTCTGATATAATGAAATCAAAGCTGGGAAAGAAGAAAAGCTTGTGTGTCATTGAGGCAAAGAAAATGTACTTGCTTGAGATGGAAAAGCTTGCAAGAGTATAATTTATTGATAAGATAAAAAGATTCATTCAAACGCACAAGATCATTACCAAAATATATTTATTGACCATGAAAATCTGAAGTTTCAAAGCACTCATAAAGATGATACCATAAGTTTTCTGTGGTCTCCAATCCTAGGTAGATTTTCTATGGAAAAGTGCTATCAGGACTGTAGTCATTTGCTCGTGCAACCAACCCATAAAGATCGTATGTTGTCATTTTTTGCCAGCAAACTTCTTTTTTGATGTCGATTAGGTTATTAAGACTTCTCAAAGGACATGGTCATGTTGAACCTAAACCAGTATATAAATTCTACGACAGCAATTCCAGACTGTCCCTGGTGATTCGACAAATGTTGCACACTCTCTCTTATCCTTTGTCAGTTGACTTCTTATTTTAGTACCACTCTCTCTCACATGGCAGCGGTCATTGTATTCAGTAGAAAGTTTTCAAGGATTCCAATCCAAGGCCAGACAAACACTTGTCAGAATCATGGTCTGCCAGTGGATAAAACAAAGGGAGATCATCACTTGCACTCAAAATTCACATTTAAAGATATATTTATAGAATAACATACAAGAAATGCACGTGGTTTGCATAAAGTAAGCATTTTAAAATACACTGAAACTCAAATCCGACAAGAAAACCAAATATGAAAATAGTAGTAGGAACAGCCTGAAGAACACAATTTTCTTCGACAAAAGTAATTTTCTTTCTTGGAGTTGATTTTGATAATTAATTTCGGTTTTGCAAAATACATGCACATACTATAAATCGGATTAAAAAAGAACCTAGAAAGAAGATATGACACGACTTGAAGCTCCTCGGCCAGCATTCTTATTGGCAAATTAGACAGATTTTGAGAAAACCGTATTCTCTTGTAGAGAATTCCCTTTATATAGAAAATATACATACTGATTTACCACCCTTAGCGCAACAAGACTACCATACAAGACTATCTATAATTAGCCTGCAGCTAGTTTGTTCTAAATCAAGGAAAGAATCAAATATCTACAATTATAGAGAATTAGCTGTTAAAGTTGTACAAGATGTAGAATCTGACGGCTTTAAATGGCTAGCTTACTTCCCTTTGACATCCCCTCAAATTAATGATCATAGATTTATAAGTATCGATTTACTAACAAGGAAATGATAGTCGTTGAAGGTCATAGATTTGGTGAAGAAATCTACATTCTAAGTGTGCTTATCCGGGCTTCGATTCTTTATATTTATTACTATATTATTAATCTACATGCTAAGTGTGCCTAGCTATGGTGTTGATTCAGAAGTGAGGTTTTGAAATAGCAGGCGTAAAATAGAAGAATCATGATATGTTACAAGTATTAGAGTTCTGATGCTTTCTCACAAAGAAGTTGAATTTGGACAATAATATTTGATTAGTTCATTTGGAAATAGATGTTTCTTAATCAACAATCTCACCAATAATCCCCACAAGAACAAGATCCATCTTTAAAATGGTGGAACCTGCTAGAATCCCTTACAGTAATTTCTCGGCTAACAATTTTTGTAATCACCTTTATAGCAGTATGACAGTCTGTACACGCTCTTAAATTTTTCATCACCAATATAGGTGATCCTTCCGGTGTACTGATCAATGCAAATGCAATGGCTAACCTCTCGCTATGATATTTAAGTGATTCTGCTTTGATATCCTCATCCACATTTTGAAGGGCACAACTGGTGTCAGGCTTATAGCCTTCTTCTTCCATTCGTTTCCCCAAATAGTTGATCTTTCGTCGTATCTCCTCAGTTAATGGATGAGTCCTATCATTGGCGGTGAACACATGAACTTTGTGATCAATTTCAACCCAACTATAGGCAGGAACTTTTTTAACTCCACGTTCTCTCATCGCCTTCTTCACCATGGCTACATTTTCCCACTCACCTGCTTCTGCATAGATATTAGCCATGGTAACATAGGGCGCAGCATCTCTAAGCACATCTAGGTTGAAAAGTTGTTCAGAAGCTTTCATAGCAATCTCTTGATTCTTATGGATCCTGCTTGAGTTTAGAATTGATGACCACATGATCTCATCTGGCTTAAATGGCATTTGATCCATAAATGTCTGTGCTTCTTTGAATCTTCCCCTTCTACATAGCACGTCAACCAAGGATGAGTAATGTTCTCTTCTTGGAACAAGTCCATAAGTTTGAGTCATGGATTTGAAGTACCACATCGCTTCATCAACAAGACCACAACGGCTGCACACAGTTAAGACACCGAGGATACTCACTGGATCTGGATCAAGACCTGATTCAGTCATCTCCTTAAAGGATCTAAGAGTGGCTTCACCATCTCCGTTCTGAGCATATGCCGAGATCATTGCATTCCAGGAGACTATGTTTCTGTCAGGAATCTCTTGGAAAACCTTAACAGCATCCTTTATAGCCCCACATTTTGCATACATGTCCAAAAGTGCACTTCCGGAAAACACATTTGACATAAATCCAGATTGGGTAATGGATGAGTGCAACTGTTTCCCCAGTGAAAGTGAAGCCAAATTTGCTGAGGCTTTTAAGGTACTCGCAAAAGTAGCTTGGTCACCGCTAACATAATTCGTTCGCATCTCATTGAATAATTTGAGTGCTTCCTCGTTGAGTCCTAGTTGTACATAAGACGATATCATGGATGTCCATGGAACAGAGCTTTTGCCATCAAGGCTTGCAAATAGAATATTGGCTTCATCAAATCTGCCACATTTTGCATACATGTCAAGAAGTGCATTCCCTACTTGAATTTCTAAATCTGCTGTTGTCACAAGTACCTGTGCATGGATTTGCCTTCCCATTTTTAGATCTTGAGTATTTGCTGCAACGCTTAACATCGTTGCAAAAGGGAAGTTTCTTCTACTAAATCCGGTTAACTGTAACTCTGTAAAGAGATTGAAAGATTCTTTTAGTTTCCCATTCCATGCATAACTAGTGATGACAATATTATAAGAAACACCATCCAACTCTAGCATCTCATCAAAGAGTTCTTTAACATTCCCCAAACATTCATGCTTGGAGTAAAAATCAAGCAATGCATTGCCAACAAATACATTCCAAACATAGTTGGTCTTGATGACAAGTCCATGGACTTGTTGTCCAAGGGCAAAACCATCTAATCCAACACTAGCACATAGCAATGCTGCAAAAGTAAAATCCGTTGGCCTTAAACCACAATATTGCATTTCTAAGAAGAGTTTTATTGCTTGTCCATTCATCCCTTCTTTCGAATACCCTGTTATCATTGTGTTGAAAGAAATAGAATCTCTTGTTGGCATGTCCTTGAAGAGCCGAAAAGCTAAATCAATACTTTGAGATTTGCAGTAAGAATCCACCAAGCTGTTACAAACTTCAAGAGTTGAGTCAAATCCTAATTTAGTAATATGGACGTGAACTTGATGTATGTCTTCTCTGGACACGGTGTCATCACAGCCTGATAAGAGAGTGGCAAAGGTGACATGATCTGGTTTAATCCCCGACCTACACATCTCAGCATAGAGATTAAAAGCTTCTTTAGGCTGACCGTTCTGTGAGTATCCACCAATCATTATTGTCCATGACACCGCTGTTCGATCAACCATCTTCTCAAATAAATCCCTCGCATAAGAAAGACTGCCTGACTTAACATAACCCGTAATCATCATGTTCACCGAACATATGTTTTTCCTAGGCATTTGGTCAAACAGTTGCTGTGCCTCAGAAATCTGTGCACTTCTAACAAAATATTTCAGCTGGAAGTTGGAGCGACACGTGTCTGGATCAAAACCCGTTTTAATGATGCGTGCATCCACCAAATTCTCCGTTTTATACTTACTGCATTTTTATAAGTTCAGTTTATTTTGTATGGTAATTGAAAAATCTAAGTAAATCATAGCAAACATACAAAGAATAATAGCAAGATTTTATGATTTACCTATTTCTACAATAGAATTGCTTCACAAACATCATTTTTTGATTCCAAGGGTTGACAGTCTTTGAATTGTTCATTGTGTTGAAGTT